CGGGGCTCTCCCAGCGCTTCTCCCTCCGCCCCGCCCGCCACACCTGGCCCAGAGGCCGAAGAGCGAGGCCAGGCCCCCAGCGAACAGGGGGCCGACCCCGGCCCGACCCGGGGGCCGTGGGGCTGGTCCTCCGCGCTGTCCCCTGTGTGGATGCGCGACGGGATCCATCTCGCTGCATTTATTAATTCCCCCGTCTAGACAGCGCAGAGGGCCGGGCGGCGGCTCCTTATCTGCATCTGGCATCACCTGCAAGCGATACACTGAAGGAGCCACAACAAGCCCCCGCTCGGATCGCGGCTGCCGGGGAAAATAAGTCCACCCAGAACCAGTCTGGCGTGTCCTTGGTTTATTTTCTTTCCAGGCCCGAAATGGAGGGGGCGGAGGATGGACGGGGAGGAGGGGGCTGGGAATGGCCCCTGGATATGCCGTGCCCAGGTCACTTGGTGTGACATTTCAAACCCCTGCGTCTTGTTTTCTTGAAAACTGGCTTTAGCGATCGCAGGAAATAACCGAGAGATACCGAATCTCCAGCAAGCCCTCGGGCAAGCACAGAAAAACCGGGAGGCTCAGGTTTTACCCTCTACAAATACTTAACCCTTTGGCATCCTGGGGCCGTTCTTTCCCCGGTGGGCTGGAGGTGGGGGGCGCCCGACTCCCAGGCGACCTGCGGGCCTGGTAGGGATCTGGGGCGTTGAGTTTTCGTTTCCTTGTCCCAGTGTCTCCGGGACCCACGAGAGTATCCTTTGCCCAGGGTTTATTTGGAAGCAGGGCCACGTCCTAGCTAGGTAGAGGGTAGTTGCTAGTGTAGCCAGCCGAGGAAACGCACCGAGGGGCAACCTGTCGGCGCTGGGTGGCGGAGGAGGTGTGCGCCCAGACAGCCGGCGGGGCTGGGGTGGCCAGGGCGCGGTGGCTTTTTCAGAGAAGCTGTAGCCTGGATTCCGCCACAGCCCCCAAGAGCTGGAAGGTGGCCTGGAGCGCCCAGAACAGGGAAGGTGGGAGGATGGAGCCACGGTTCTTTTTACTTCATTAACGACAAGGTGGAGCTAGCAGTTCGGGATTTCAGAAGTGCGGCTGGGAAGAGAGAGGCGGGGTAATGAAGACCAGCTTCCCCCTCAAGTGCCCAGATAGGGTTTTCATCCTCAGGCTGGGTCCTCTGAGACATCGTCCCCTTAGACCATTCTCTCTCCAACAGAAATAGGGATTTCTCCTTTTGCGTCCTAGCTGGCCACTGCACCGAGGAGTAAACGTCGGATAAATCTTCCGAAAACTTTGATTCGTCCAAATTGGGATTTCTCCTTTTTTTTTTTCATTGAAAAGGAAATAACAGGTTCTTGAATAAAGAATTTCATGAATGGTTATTAATTAGCTCCGAAGTGTTGCTTTTGACACCCCACAGTATTTGAAGACCACGAATGGAAACATTTACCCAGTTACCTTACTTGTTCTCTCATTCGTGGTCTACAGATCTAAAATCAATTCCTCTTTCTGCTATTTGTATGTTTGTCTTTTTCTTAACGTTGGGGAGTGACCTAGATAAAAATGGTTCCTGTGTTCTAAATGCCTGCACCTCTTTGTGGAACTGTAGAAAACACTCGAAGCTTTTTGAAAAATCTCCCATCGTTGTTAAACGCCCAGAGAGGCATCTTTTCCTATGCGGGTTTCCAGGGGAAGGGTTTAACTCCCAGGCGTAGGACTGTGGCCCCTAGTGAGCTGTCAGATCTACGGTTGGTTAGTTACGTTAGTAAATATCAGTTTTAGTGGTTCCCAGGTCATCTTTAAACATCTTCTGTAAAGTACTAAGGCTTTCCCTATAAATTAAATTAGCTGTAAAATCACAAGAGTTGTATTTTATGCTTCCTGAACTTTCACCGTGAGACACCCAGTTGTGCACTAAAAACTCAATTCAGTAAAAGAGGCCACAGGTGGAAAACGGGCACTGTTTAGCGAGATCCAATTCAGAATTAGACTTTTCTCAGAAGACTTTTCTAACAATTTGGATAGCTCTGTGTGTTCGAGGCAGGAAAGGGAGCCCCAGAGATGAAAAAGTTTATGGCTATTATACCACCAAATGCAATACACACTGAAAGACGGCGCGATTCTGGGAATTCATGGTGCCCGTGGCAGTATTCCCAGCGCACTTTAATATTTAATGGGTTGCGGAACAGAAATCAGCCTTCGGGTTTTGAATATGGAGTAACTTCAGGCTCAGTTCTGTCAGAGCTGCAAATGCTGGGTTTACAGGAGGCGTTGGCCAGAATCTGTCTAGAGAGGAGGAGGGCCCCACTGCTGCCTAGGGTCGCGGGGTTTCCCCACGTGTTTGCGGAGGACAGCAAGAGCATGGGGTGAACAGCGACACGTTGGAGGGGACAATGGACAAGGGACTGTTTGCAGACAAGTTCCCAAGGAGCCGCGACAGGAAAAGCAGGGCATCCAGAGAGTTTATTAAGCTGATGTGGGGACGGTTGGAGGCTTTTAAAAACGGGCCTGATGGATGTCAAAGTAAACTTTCTGGAAACTGCAGAGATCCCGCGCGATGAGGGCGGTGTGCCCGGTCCCAGCCTAGCGCCCTTGCTGATGGAGACGGAGCAGGGGAGGTGCAGAAACCGAGCGGCTGAAAGCAGCCTGGCAGGGGAAGGGCGGCGGGCCGGGCGGGCCGTGTGCACAGCGCGTTCCCGGCTCCCAGCGCCGGCCTGCCCCGCGGGAGTGCCAGGTGAGACCAGACGCGAGGCTTCCCGGTCAAGGTCAGCTGGGAGGGTGGGCGGTGCGGGTTGGGAGCTCGGGAAGGCCGAGCGGGTCCCCGGGCGGAGTCGGGGTGTCTGGGCGGCGAGTGGTGGGAGTTCGGAGGAGCGAGACCCCACGCGCCGGCGGAAGCGTGTGGGGAGGAGCTGGGCGAGGGGCGTAGAGGGGAGCGCGGAGGGGTCGTTCGTCCCGACCCGGAGCCTCGGGACTTCCAGAGCGGGCCGAGCGCCCAGGCTGGAAGGGCCAGGTGGTTCCCCAGCTGTGGGGAGAAGGGTGCAGGAGGCCGAGGTCTGGACCTGGGCTCAGCGCGGGGCAGGCCGGGTCCGAGGTCGCCGCGCTCCCGACTGCGGGTCTGGACCCGGCCGGGAGCGGCGCTGTCGACACCCCGTGGGCGCCCGCGGTGACGGGGTGCAGGGCTCCGGGGACCTGGCTGCGCCGGGCGGGGACTCCGCTCCGGGCCTCGGCAGCGTCCTGCACGCCGGGCTCCGGAGGCTCTGCCCGCCGTGCTCCGTGGCACCGTCACCTCGGCAGGAGGGACCCAGCGCAGGCCTTTCGCCTCCGGCCACCGCGGTCCGCTCTGGCCCCCGAACCTCGGCGGAGCCGCGATGCCGCCCCCGGCCCCGGCCCCGCGAGGGGAACGAGGTCCCGCGCTCACCTGGGCGTAGCTCTCCGGGTCCGATCCTGTCCTCGCAGAGTGGAGAGGTCGCGGCACCCGGGGCGCAGAAGCCGCACCCACGGCGCAGAAGCCGCACCCACGCGGGCCCCGCGGAGCGCGCCGGGTCCGGAGCCCCGAGGCGCCCGGGCTGGGTGGGGCCGGGCTGCCCGCCTCAACCCCTCCCCTCGGCGCGAGGGGCAACGCCGCCATTCAATTAAGGGTTTAATTGCGAATTCTGGTACGGTTTCTGGGAGGTTAATCACAGCTGTCTAAATTATTTACAGCTCTCTGGCAAATTTCCGAGCAGATAAGGCGATGCTATTGCGAAGCGCCTTGCAGGAAATCTTATAAATACTTGATGATCCCTTTCAGCTCCGGGATCCTGCACCCAGGGCCGCGCGGCCAGCGGCCATCGGGAACTCCCGTCCTGGTGGTCCCCGCGGACAGGCTCCCGAGAGCGGCCCCTGCCCTGGGCCGGGACAGTCGCTGACACTGTGGAGGGGCGGGGTGGGGGATCCCCGGAGGCTGAACCCGGAACCGGGAACCGCCGGGGCTCTGCGGGCTGGAGCGCCAGCACCAGCACCGGGAGGAGGTCGCCTCCTGAGATTGGGCCTCTTTATCCCTTCTATTTGCTAAGAAGCGAATCCAGCACGTTTGCAGAACCGGCGCGCTCGGGACGCTCCAGCAAGACCGTGCTGAGCCCTGGGTAAGGCTTGCCTTCAAATACCCAGCGAAGTGGCTTCTGATCCTAAGCCCTGTCCCCACCCTCTCACTCAGTTCTTCCCCAGCCAGATCTTTTTTCTCGCTAATGTCTGATCCTTATCTGACAGAAATTATTACTGATGTCACTCAGTGAAAGGCTTAGCACTGACCATCGGCTTGCGGAGGGAAGCCGGGCCTCTCCCGGGCTTCCCCCAGGCCTCCTCCGGCCTCCACAGAGCTCCACCGACCGGTGGCCCCCGAGTTTCATTCCGTTTCACTTTTACTTCAGCACGCCTGTATCTTGCAAGTGTTGGAGAAGGTTCTCCAGGCCCAGGAGCGTTCACTGCAGACTAGAGATCAGGCATGTTTACTCCCTCGGCGTTCAGGCCCTTCCCAGCTCACCCAGCTCAGGAAAGTTCAGGCCGGCGAATGAATACAGATGCCCCAAATTAATTTCAAATAGCCCCCCAAACATATTATGTGTTAGGATGTAGAAGTGTTATACGGGTCTTTTCTCCCAGCCCTAAAAACAGAAATGGAGAGCAGGTAAAGGCTAAGTCTTTAATAAAGATGCTTCGGGAGCTGGAGTCAGTGCTTTTCATTCACACCTGCACTGCCCAACAGGAACAGTAAACACTGAAAACAGGTAGGTAACTTTATTACAAGGACAGAACAGACGCGCCGAGTTCTGTCTACGGTCACCCATATTACAAATGCGAAGAGTATATTGTGGTGGGATGGAAGCCACCAAGCCCCAAAATGCTGTGCGTTAAGTGAAACTGCACGCGTCGATTCGGAAGTAGGACAGGGATATCTACAGTCATTATAAATAGCGCCGAGTGTACACGGTATCTACAGTCCGGGGCGGTATGAACACGGGGAACGGGTTTCACACGACAGTCTGAACATTCAGAACATCCAACTGAGCAATTTAAGGTATTAACGAGGGTCCTGGAACCAACCAAATCATTTATTTTTTCTCCTTCTGTAAGAAAAACTGTCGAGCATCTTCCCAAGCCTGCTGAGGAAACCTGTTAGCCAGCTCAAGATAGTCTTGGGCACCAAGGCATTTTCCTGAGATGGGGGAGAACAAAGAGAGAGAGAGAAAAGACGTACATTACACAGAATCGGGTTCTCTGAAGGGTAAACAGTCCACCATGCTTTGGTATCTGAGTACTCCGCAACACACGTTATAGAAATAGGGGGCTGGTTATCTCCGCACAGCTGGAGACTATGACACATGTATCTCCCTCCCAGTCCAGACTGTGCTAACATAGTCAGGCATCAGCCCCTGTGCAAAACGTCCTGGGAGATCTGGGTTTGGACTCCAGCATAGGAAGGAACGAGGGAAAACAAGTGTGGCAGACGTACGTCGGCCATCAGATGTGCTCCCCTAAAGCCAGCCTAGGAGGGGACATCTCTGGAAACGGGGGCACTTGTGCTCTAAAACAGCATATCTGGTTTAACACGTGAACTCAGTCTCACTGTTCCTCCCTGGCGCTCAGTCGTCTAACAGAGCAGGGGCGACGTCAGGAGCTGTCCAGGCCTGTGATGTGAGCAAAAGCCCGCACTCTGCCCCATGGGCGCCAGCGAGCAGCGGGGACCTGAAACCAAAACTCCTCCTTGGCACTGCCAGGCCCTGCTTTTACTCTTAGAGGTTTACCCAGGCGATGAACTCACAGCATCTTGAGACGTTTGATGGGGTCTTAATCTACGCAAAAGGGGACAGATGTCCAAGGTTGCAGCTTGCTCAGCAGCACCATTAGAAAGTAAATAGGGACCAGCAGGTGGTGCAGTGGTAAAGGCGCTGGACTCCCACATGGCCGATTGCAGTTCAAGTCCTGGACCTGGCAGCTTGCTGTCTCACTTTCCTTTTCTCTCTCTCTCTGGTCAATATAAAAAATAATAATATGTACAATTAAATAGTTTTTAAAACAAAGCCTATTACCAGCTGTTATTGCAGAGCAATGACCCTTTCTGAGCACAGCAGGGACCAACTCCACACTAGCTGTTCTGCGGGTTGGGCCTACAGAGCAAAGGAGGCATGAAAACCGGAGAAGGTGACTCTTGGAGAAGAGAGAGGGCTGAGGCTGCAGGCCTTGGCTAACCCGCAGATGGAGGCAGCTCCTGGGCCAGGCCTTCCAGAGCTGCAACAAATGGTGACTCATCTTCGTGGTCAGAAGGACTAACGGAAAAGAATGTTTATATTTCTTACTGGCAAAGAAGAAAAAATTGTTGTAGAATTAAAAACAAACACATCAGAAGATCTTCCTAAGTATTTTCATACATTAAAAATGTAACAATTGTTTTGTAAGAAACAGCAACAAAGTATGCTGATTTCTCCCAAGTATCCCCCAGAATTAAAGGGGGGCTGAGAGTGCACACTGATTCTGCCCAGACAGCGGGACGGCTGTGATGCTGCCCGCAGTGTCTGCAAAGCGGCACAGCTTTCTGTGGACTTCTCAGAGTCCCTGAGTCAATAAAACATTTTCTCATGGGACCGTAACAGCTTAAGTTATATTTCCTTCTCTGCATTCTTTCATACCTGCTCACTGGAGATGACTTTTTAGAAAGTATTTTAAAAGTTTATTGTAATACTGTTATGGCAGTGAGAATGAGAGAAAGACAAGCACCCTCAGTAGGGTCTCACACCACCAGGCTGCACGCCCACCGCAAGCCTTCCCAGCCAGCTGGGATCGTGGGTGTCACGCTTCTGCAGTGGACCGGGGAGCTGAACCCGTGATCTTCCATATGGATCTGGCATCCCATAGCAGCACATTACCAGCGTGCCACTGAGCCGGCTTGCTTTTTTCTTTTTTGTTAATTTTTGGTGTCAGAGTCCAAGGTAAGTGCTTCCAAGTGGTGTCCCAAGGGTCCTGCTAGAAGTGGGCCTCTGAACGGCCACTTTAAAGACTATCAGACTCATGAAGACTTGGGGAAATCTGCACCAGGGGAAATCTGCACATTAATCAGAGATGTCACGACAGCCGAGCAAAGAGCAACTTCCACTTCTCAATGACAGTCTGAGTTGCACAATATTTAGAAAAGTAAAAATGCACCTTAGAACTCAAAACTCCAAACTCTGATCATAGCAAACACCTCAGTAGGAACTCACCGGGGAAAAAAGGCTTGGCAATCATTTGGCCCCTCCCCGACTGAGATTTTTTTTTTTTCTCCATGGAAAACAATTATTTCAATAAAAAGTTCAAGTACTTGAATTTAGGGTAGAAATATGGGCTACTATCATTGATAACTGTACTCTAGATGTGGAAAATAAACCAAATCTCTGATTGTAGCATTTGTATGAGTAATGTGGGCCCATAACGATGAGCTGACTCCACTTTCATGATGATCGTGTATTACAAAGTGTCTCTTTAGAAACTATGCACACGTGTTTGTGCTTTCCTTTTACTTCCATGGATTTCTCAATTCCTTTATCACTGGAATACACTTGTTATCTGGATCTCAAATATTTTATGTGATGTATAAACGAACTTCCCAAACATTTCCGGAGGAATGAGTGAGGTGCATGTCCATTTGGCTAACAAACACATGGAATTTAACTTCAAAGGAGACTTACCTTTGGGCTGGTAAGACTGGTTATCTGCCTGGCCGGGCGTCTGTGCAAAATCCTGTACGAGAGAAGAGTGTTTTCATACCAACACTGGACAGCAGTTCCAAGTGTCTGTCTGTCTGTCTGTCTTTCTAATATTTATTTATTTGATCCCATTTGTTATTATTATTTTTTAATTTAACCAAAGAGAGAGAGAGAGAGAGAAAGCAAGAAAGCAAGCTGCCAGGTCTAGGACTCGAACCGTGGTCAGCTGTGTGGGAGTCCAGCACCTTTATCCACCATGCCACCTACCAGCCTCTCAAATGTATTTCTGATCCTGCAACCACTTCTGCGTGAACAGTTTGGAGCACAAATATAAAAGTTGAAGTAGGGGCTGCCTCCGTGGCCTAGTGGTTAAGAAAGGTAGATCTTAGGGCCAGTAGGTAGCATGGTGAGAAGGGTGCTGGGCTTCCGCATGGCCAACCAAGGTTTGAGTCCCAGACCTGATGGTGTGCTTTCTCACTCTCTCTCTCTGAGCATGTGTGCCCTGTAGCAACATTTAAAAATAAAATAAAATAAAATAAATCTTAAAAAATAAAAAATAGCTAGATCACACATGGCTGATGGCACAGTTCAAATCCCAGTCCTGGCGGTTTAGAAAACATACGTGTGTGTGTGTGTGCTCAGAATCCCAGAAGGAGAATGAAGAAGTGATTGTGCATAGTCACCCCCCCACCCGGGTTGGTTTCTCACTTTACCTCTCTTAGTGCATGTGTCCTATAGCAAAAGCCTCTTTTAAAAAAAAATACAGATTTTTAGCATTTAAAAATAAGTACAAGTACAAGGTCTTATGTATTCTGAAGCTAAATCTTAAGTCTGGTAATTGTACTTTTAGACAGAATGTGAAAATGTAGTATATAATATACCTATAACATATTAATAGTATATAATATGTATATCTTTAGGAACCTAGGACAAACTATTGAATTCTATTTTAATATTTTCTAGTGATTGTTAATAACATAACACATATGGACCTTGAAGAATCATTTTATAAATGAAAATACAATGTGTATTCATTATTTTTAGTGTATTTATAAAAAAGACTTATTTATTTATTTATGAAGAATATTTTATTTTATTTATTAATTCATTCACTTTTTAAAAATTTGATCAGAGAGAGACAGGGATAGAGAAAGTAAGAAAGCAAGCCACCAGGTCTGGGCCTCAAACCGTGGTTGGCTATGTGGGAGTGTCTAGCACCTTAACTACCACACCACCTGCTGGTCCCCAAAAGGAACTTATTTAACTCCCCTAGTCGCCACCTCCCAGGCTGCTGGCTTTCCTAACGTTTTCTTTTCAGGTGACCTCCCCCCACTTTAATGAGAGATCTGCAAAGGCAGCCATTTTTATCTAGTTCATTCGTTGCTGTGTCCCAGTGCTGGGGACAGTGCCCGGCATACTCCGAAAGCACATACTCCAAAAGTGCCAGTCGACTAGAAGAATAAATCATCTGAATAAAAAATTAAAAAAATAGCTACAGGGCATGTGCCCTAGCTGGAGAGAGAGAGAGAGAGAGGGAGAGAAAGTAAGAAAGCAACCCCTGGAGGGGGGTGGCCATGCTGCAATCCCTTCTCTATTCTCCTCTCGGGGTGGTGGGCACACGCACACGTGCACCCACTGTGTTTTCAAGCCGTCTGGTGTGGGATTCACACCGCACAGCCAGCCATGTGGGACCCAGTCACCTCAACTAGCACGCCGCTGGCTGGCTGGAATAATCTGAACTTCATATGATCAGAGTCTTTAGATTCTCTATCATGTATATTTAATTTCAACTTCAGGCGTTAAGAATGCTGTATATGAAGAATACTAAGTGTTGATGTGACGAATGTATCCTGCAAGATTTTATTTTAACTTTAAGATAGTTTTAAAAATCCATACTTGTAGATCTTAAGAGCCATCTTGAAAAATTTTTCAGAACACGGAACCCAGACTCAAACAGAACTAGGTGAAAAGAAAACATTTCTAAATCTAATCGGCCCAGCCGTGTTTAATTTACCACACATCATCTAATAGCGGGTAGTGCAGAAAACGGAGGCCCTTAGTTGCTGCGAAGGTGAAGAGGCCTGGGGCGCATTAGCTGTCCTGTACCTACTCTTTGGACCCGAGAGGTGTGTGTCGGCCAGGGTACGGCAACGCTGACCCACGGCCCTGCTTTCGGTTTCACTGCCGTGAAACTCACAAAGCATCGTCCACTCCTCACGTGTGACATGAAGCAAAGGCACACCGGCTTATGGCGAAACGGCCAAAGGAAAATGGGGGATTTTCTGCTGCTAGTGGTCTACAGGGGTAAAACAAACTCATGGGCTTAGCAGACGTTAAACCGTCACCCAGACTTGCTACTAGTTGCCTGAGTTAGTGCAGATGTGAAAATATTCTTATGCCGCAGCACTAATTCCAGTTCCAGCCGTACAGAATTTAACTAGGTCGGCAAACTACAGGATGGTTCTTCAAAATTTGAGATTAAAAAACATACAAAACATGTTTTTAGATTTTACATATATATGAATACATATACATGAGAATCTTGTATTTAAAAATTTACCAAAAAAATTTACAAATAAACACAAGTTTTAATTGCTTGTTGGCAATTATTATCTGTCCTGCATAGCTAGACAGAAAGCGAGATAAACGTCATAGAGAAGTCTGGCTGCTTTTAGAAACATTTCCGTGCCGGTTCTCTTTTCATTAACTGGCAACGTGTCCTTGCCTTCGGATCCTCCGAGCAGAAATTATACCACACCCAGCTCGGTTCTCTGAATGATGTCTTAGTGACTATCCTGATGACTTCTGAGAATAATTTCCAAGCACAGAAATGCATGGAGGCGGCGCAGGGGCACCGATGAACGGCGGCCTTGCTGTTACTTCCCAGCACACCCATGCACACAGCCGGACGGCCAGACCTCCCCGGGTACCTGGATGAACGTGGCCAGCAGGACGCAGCTCATCTCCTGCTCCAGGATGACCTTGTTCTGCCGGTTGTCGTAACAGGCCGCGATGAGCGAGGGGAACAGCACTTTGATCAGCCGCGGGTCACTGAAGTACTGGAAGGGCAGCTGGCAGAGCTTCTGCAGCACCGTGGGGTGGCGGCCGGACTGCACGATTACCTGCAACAGAGGAGCGGCCTGGCCAGTGGCTGCCGCCCACGCCCACGCCCACGTGAGCACGTGGAAAGGCCGAATGAGAGGGAGACTCCCGGAGCCCAGCTGACGGGACTTTAGAAAAGAACAGAAAATAAAACACATTTTGCTTCTCAACTTAAGGAAGAGATTCCAACAGTTCTGCAGCCATTTAAAAATGACCATAACCCATAGGACGGCGGCGCAGCTTCACAACACACGGCTCAGACAAAGCACTCGGCACCACTTCAAGGCAGGGCGGCTGTGCTCCGGAAAACCTGCCCAGAGCTCACCCACGACTGCCACTGCGAGATACCCTCCGCTATGGCCATGCCCTCTGCCGTCTCCCCAAACCGGCTCATCCAACCTGCTCAATGCAGGCAGACCTATCCCAGATGCAGGCAGGTCCGAGGGAGCAAGGGACTGCCTGCAAGAGGGCCGGGAACAGTTTCGGCAAGCAGAGCCTTCCTGCGGCCCATAGGCCTTATCTCTGCTTCCATCAGTGCCACTGAGCCTCAAAGGAGAATTGTTTAGATAAATGGGACTGTTGTCTTGAAGCAGTCTGGGTTTACAACTCTGCCCATTTTAAGAAATAGGCCGATGCAATTAATGGGCTTGCGGGGAAGCCCTCCTAACTCACTCCCCAGGTCTGCATGATGCACTCAGACATGTCCAAGTCGGATCTGCTTCAAGTAACGCTGACGGGTCAGTTCTAATATGAAAGCGCTGAGACCCAAGGCGCACGTCAGGGTACAGGGGGACGCTCCTGGAAGGCTGGGAACACCGTAAACTGAAGGTCAGGACTGTAAATTGTACTTGGAAAACACAATTTTACAGGTACACACCCAGACAGGGCTGCATTCAAATGAAAACCAGAAGGACAGAATGAAACGGCAGGGGCAGAGGCAACATAAATTACAGGGATTTACAAGTTCTCCAAGTACTTTTAACAGTCCTTTAAGAACACACTCTCAGATGATAATGCAGTTTGGTCTAAGAACAAAATCAACAAAGTAATAGTTCACATATTTTCGTTCAATAGCTAAAATGACATCAAAAACCTTTAGAGGCTGTTGATAGGAACTTGTTAATACCCTCAGATCCAGGAGGAATTTTAAAGACTCACGTATCGTGTGACAATTCTGCACAGGGCTGTGTGCTGCCGTTTCTGACGCTGGCTGGGAAAATGTGCCCCATCATGTACTTTATTGATAAAGCATTTACTGAAGTCTTTATTTTACTTATTAGCTACACATTCTGTGCCACAGCCAAATGGTCGCTGCTTTAGGATTTATAACGATGCTATTATTAGAAGTCTTTTCTTTTTTTTTTTTCATCTGGGGGCAAACATTAAGACCTGGTTCTTTCTTTGGAACTCCACTGTTAAAATGCTGTTATTGGGAGATTTTCTAATTGAAGAGAGATTAGAACGGCCAGTCTGGCTGGCACAGGCTGGAAGGTAACTCGAAAGCGACATCTTCTGGTTCCCGGTGATCAGCACCGACTGTGAGCGCCTACTGGGACCTGCCCACCTGCACTCCCGAGGGCGCTACGGATCCCCTCGAGGGACAGAGCTGGCTCTAGGTGTCTGTCTGCAGAAGTCACTGGCAGTCCAGGGAGCTGACCTGCCAAGGCCACTACGCTGGAGTCCCTGAACTGCGGGTGATGCACGCAGATGTAGGCGGTTCAGTGACCTTGGGGCGAGTTCTGTCTGAAGGGTCACCTAGACGGGATTTTACCAGATCACAGTTGGGCATCTGAGGGTGGGAAAACCCACCCTGCCCCCTGCCTGGCTGTGAGCCAGAGAGGACATGCAGTCGGCACTGTCCGGCAAGCACTGCAGACACCGCGCTGTGGGAGATGGGGGCAGGAGCAGAAAGGGCCACCCGGGAGCACCGAGACTCAGCAGAGAGGGGCGGCCGGCTACTGTGGACACAGCTGAAGTCAGCTGACAGGCTACGTGTGTCCTTCCGGGGCAGGGAAGCCAGGTGGGAATGCCCTCAGCCTGACCTCAGCCTTGACCATCACGAGTGTTGCCCAGGGGGCTTTTGCCATCCGGCCTCAGTTTTCCTTGACCCAGCCGTTCGCTTCCAGCGTCTGGTGGTCACGTCATGTTGCTCACGCTTTCCAGTCAGTGCAGTCATTGTGGGACGCAAGGGTCTGGCTGAGCTAGGAAATGCGAGTAATTCAGGGGCCTCGGGTTTCCCACGTGCTGTTCCCTGCTGTCCTGGTGGAGTTGCAACTAAGTCAGATAACCGTTGGCCTGTCACCTCTGTCCAGACGAAGCCTGTCCGAAAGTGCTAGGGAGGACACCACCCTGAGCCTGGCCAGGCTGTTTGCCCACCTCACCCCCCACCCCCACCGTTTCAGGGTGCGCAGGCCAATACAAACAGAAAGGGGTTCCCACACAGCTCCCTTCTGGGGCATGGCAGCAGTGGGAGGCAGTGCCTGCGGTAGACTTTGCTGGCTGCGGTCATTGGCAGGGAGCAGGTATGGCTTCCAGGATGAGAGACAGCGCTGTGAAGATGTCCACTTTCAAATGCAGAGCAGGGATCCACCAAAAAAAACCCAAAGGAATCTCCAGCAAGGTTTGGATCAAAGGAGACTGAACTGACCCTTGCTCTTAGATGGGATTCCAAAACAGGTGCCATCGAAAGAGCTGGGAGAGCTGGGTGGGAGAGCTGGGTGGCTGAGGTGGGTGAGCTGGGTGGGAGAGCTGGGTGGGAGAGCTGGGTGGATGAGCTGGGTGGATGAGCTGCGTGCCTGCTCTGACACCATTCCCCACCTCGCTGCAAGACCCCTAGGCAAACTGCTCCTTGCTCTGGGTTGTAAGACAGTGAATTTTTAAAAAGCAAACTCCGTTTTTAGAAGTTTCTTTTATTCATTTCTAAGAGGTAGACACACGGACACAGAGCCGCCCTGGCTAGGATTTTGCCATGTTGTGTGCCTGGCACGTACAGGTCGACCCAGGATCTGAACCCAGGTCCCCATACGTTCCAGTCTAGCACAGCGGTGCCCTAACCAACCTATGCCCCCACAGCCAGACCTCAAGTCAAACTCTCATTCACGTGTGGCTTAGACACCCATATACCTTAGGGGAACTGCTCAATTTTCCCAAAATGTATGTACCGATGTCACCAAGTACCTGCGTAAATAAAGAACGAGGAGAGCTGGGTGGGTGAGCTGGGTGGGAGAGCTGGGTGGGAGAGGTGGGTGAGCTGGGTGAGCTGGGTGGGAGAGCTGGGTGGGTGAGCTGGGTGGGAGAGCTGGGTGGGAGAGCTGGGTGGGTGAGCTGGGTGGGAGAGTTGGGTGAGCTGGGTGGGAGAGCTGGGAGAGCTGGGTGGGAGAGCTGGGTGGGAGAGCTGGGTGGATGAGCTGGGTGGATGAGCTGCGTGCCTGCTCTGACACCATTCCCCACCTCGCTGCAAGACCCCTAGGCAAACTGCTCCTTGCTCTGGGTTGTAAGACAGTGAATTTTTAAAAAGCAAACTCCGTTTTTAGAAGTTTCTTTTATTCATTTCTAAGAGGTAGACACACGGACACAGAGCCGCCCTGGCTAGGATTTTGCCATGTTGTGTGCCTGGCACGTACAGGTCGACCCAGGATCTGAACCCAGGTCCCCATACGTTCCAGTCTAGCACAGCGGTGCCCTAACCAACCTATGCCCCCACAGCCAGACCTCAAGTCAAACTCTCATTCACGTGTGGCTTAGACACCCATATACCTTAGGGGAACTGCTCAATTTTCCCAAAATGTATGTACCGATGTCACCAAGTACCTGCGTAAATAAAGAACGAGAGTGTGGCCAAGAACTCTGAGTCTTTGAATATATTCTTTCTCACTGAAAGTTACATTCTTTTTTGTGAGAGATTTTTACTATAGGGAGTGTGTGCTTGCTGGAGAGACAGAGAGACAGAGAGTGAGAAATCATTCCCTGGGGCGATGGCCACGCTGCAAGCCCTCCTCCTCCCTTCTCTCGGGATTTGGGGCATGCACATGTGCCGGGCATGAGTTTCAAGCCACCGGGTCCAGAACTCATACCACAGTCGACCATGTGGGCGTCCAGCCACATAACCATTATGCCATTTGCTGGTTCCTGAAAATTACACTTGCACATATGAAGAAAACCACACGGAAACCATTTGGCTGCGTCAGGACCCGGAGTACTCGGAGGCTTCCTTGGCGCCATCTTTGTCATTCTCGGGGGTGGGGACAACAGGAGCGCAGGCTCCTCTCAGGTCTAGGTGGAGGCTGGTGCACACAACTCCACAGTCTCCGAAGGAGGGCACTTAGGCAGAAGGTGGCCCGCTGCTTTCCTCCGCAGTACCATGGCAGAGGGGCTGCCGAGGGAGACAGCAGCCACCTGGAGTGGGCACACACACTGATTCTCTCTCCTCCTGCGCGTTCCTGGGCACCTGCTAGCCCCCGGCTCTCACCTCTGCGCTTCCCACCACGGACCGGCCACAGGAGCACTTGGTCAATGCCTGCTGATGCGGCAGCTTTCCTCTGACCCTGGGACCTCAGTTACACAGCTGGGAGAGGAAGGAAGCCGCTCTTCACCATGCCAGTGATGACGCAACACGCTGGGGAGGGCTCGTGCTTTGCACACCAATGACAGGTCTGCAAAGGAGCCCGGCGGGGATGAGGTGCCCAGGACCCCTGGGAGGGCGAGACTGCTCCTTACTCAGGGAAATGTGCAAGGCCGCATAGTTGGGGGCGTGTTGGACTCTGAAGGCTGGATCGGATCTCGGCGCCAGGAATTGAAGGTGGAGCGATTTTGGGTGGAGGGAAGAAACTCACAGATTCAATACCAGACTGGCTGAGTGTGCAGGCTGTCCCAACGATACCACGCACTGCTGGCTTCAGCAACGGAAGTTTATTTCCTTGTCTGGAGGCTGGTGATCTGGGTTTGGGGTGCCGGCATGGTCAGGTCCTGGAGAGGGCCCTTGTCCAGGCTGTAGATGGCCTTTCCTCGGGGTGCTCACGGT